GAGTGAGAGAGAGAGAGTGAGTGAGTGAGTGAGTGATTGAGAGAGAGAGAGAGAGTGAGTGAGTGATTGAGAGAGAGAGAGAGAGTGAGTGAGTGATTGAGAGAGAGAGAGAGAGAGAGTGAGTGATTGAGAGAGAGAGAGAGAGAGAGAGAGTGAGTGATTGAGAGAGAGAGAGTGAGTGAGTGATTGAGAGAGAGAGAGTGAGTGAGTGATTGAGAGAGAGAGAGAGAGTGAGTGAGTGATTGAGAGAGAGAGAGAGAGTGAGTGAGTGATTGAGAGAGAGAGAGAGAGTGAGTGATTGAGAGAGAGAGAGAGAGTGAGTGATTGAGAGAGAGAGAGAGAGTGAGTGATTGAGAGAGAGAGAGAGAGTGAGTGATTGAGAGAGAGAGAGAGAGTGAGTGAGTGAGTGATTGAGAGAGAGAGAGTGAGTGAGTGATTGAGAGAGAGAGAGTGAGTGAGTGATTGAGAGAGAGAGAGTGAGTGAGTGATTGAGAGAGAGAGAGTGAGTGAGTGATTGAGAGAGAGAGAGTGAGTGAGTGATTGAGAGAGAGAGAGTGAGTGAGTGATTGAGAGAGAGAGAGTGAGTGAGTGATTGAGAGAGAGAGAGTGAGTGAGTGATTGAGAGAGAGAGAGTGAGTGAGTGATTGAGAGAGAGAGAGTGAGTGAGTGATTGAGAGAGAGAGAGTGAGTGAGTGATTGAGAGAGAGAGAGTGAGTGAGTGATTGAGAGAGAGAGAGAGAGTGAGTGATTGAGAGAGAGAGAGAGTGAGTGAGTGATTGAGAGAGAGAGAATATGTATATATGAATATATATATATACACATATATATATGTATATATATATATATATGATTATATATATATATATGATTATATATATATATATGATTATATATATATATATGATTATATATGTATATATGATTATATATGTATATATGATTATATATGTATATATGATTATATATGTATATATGATTATATATGTATATATGATTATATATGTATATATGATTATATATGTATATATGATTATATATGTATATATGATTATATATATATGTGATTATATATATATGTGATTATATATATGTGATTATATATATATATGTGATTATATATATATATGTGATTATATATATATGTGATTATATATATATGTGATTATATATATATGTGATTATATATATATGTGATTATATATATATGTGATTATATATATATGTGATTATATATATATATGATTATATATATATATGATTATATATATATATGATTGTATATATATATATATGATTGTATATATATATATATGATTGTATATATATATATGATTGTATATATATATATATATGATTGTATATATATATATATGATTGTATATATATATATATGATTATATATATATATATATATGATTATATATATATATGGAAATATATACGTACATATATATTTTATGTATATATAATATATATATATATAATATATATATTATATATAATATATACATATCATATTTATATATATATATATATTATATATATATATATATTTAACCCATTGCCACCAGGGAAAATGAACAAAAATTGGGCCTATTTTCTATATTTATTTGTGAAATGTCTGCCCATAGATGGGTCTCTTAGTGCCTGATGAAATGGCAGATAAACATATATTTCTCTAGTGCCATGAATATTGATGGTGTTATTTTTATTATAAACATTATAATTTTTATTTTATTATTATTATTTTTTTTTTTTTTTTTTTTACATTATTAACAGCAAAATAAGATAACGTGAAATATTTTGTAAATCAAAGAAAAGGATAAACGGGCGAGACAGGCGGTACTTGTAACTGGCTCATTGGTGATTTAGTACAAGTGTAGCCATCTATATGTAAAAACATCTATGTGTAAAAACAAACAAGCAATTTCACAGTGGTCATGGCATCATGATGGGTTATTATTTTTATATATAATATATAAATATAATATTAATATATGTATGATATATATATATACATATGTGTATATGTATATATTATGTATTTAATTTTTAGGGAGGGTTGGCTTGACACAAAAGTAATGGATGATCGCATGATCAGCTACAGCAGGATCTTTGAAATCAATAAAAAAAATTAACTATAGAGATGTGAATTGGTCACAACGATGTTAGAGAGTTTAGATGTAGGACCAAAGAAAATTGCCGCCAGGGATGGCATGTACGTACATGCCATGCCCACTGTGAGTCAACTTGTTTGATTTTTTTTACACATAGATGGCTACACTTGTACTAAATATCCAATGAGCCAATTACGAGTACCGCCTGTCTCGCCCGTTCACCCTTTTCATCGATTTACAAAAATATTTAACATTATTTTAATTTGCTGTCAAAAATAATACCATCTATATTTATAGCACAAGTAAGAATGTGTTTTTTCCCGCCAATTCAAGGAAAGGTGAAATTAGGACTAGCAGAGCCATCTATGGACAGAGAGATTTCACAAAAATAGAAAAAATGAGTACTGCATTTTCCACATTTTTTGTTCATTTTCCCTGTTGGCAATGGGTTAAGCTTAAAGGAGGGAACCTTAAATTTTGAAACTGATAAATCTTGGTCTAAAGTGATTCAACAGAGAAATCTTGGGAAGTGTTAAATCTTTCTATCCTCCTGTATCTGATTTCAAGTGACTGCAAAGAACCATACTTTCTGAGGAGAACAATGTCTTGGTGTTATCCCAGTAAAGTATTGGCATACAAATACAATAGTCTACTCCATGCATACTTGTTGTTATGAGTATATGGTGGTTTTCATATTTAGAATTTTTTCATCACTTTTCATTACCCTGCTTTGTTAGATACTTGTACAATGGAATTAATTTTCTTCCAGCACACCCTCATTGCTGCACCAAATACTGGACTGATTGACTCAGAAGTAATGGTTGGATCTAATTCCCAAGTGCCATTGTTGTATCGAGGCACAGGGCTGATCACAGATGCTGACAACCCCTTGGTTCTACCAGTGTTGAGGGCTCCATCTACTGCATATTGCTATAATCCTACACAATCCATCACTGACTACCCTCATGCCACAGGTAGTTTTTTTTTTTTTTTTCC